CCCCAAAACCCCAAAACCCCAAAACCCCAGATCCTACCCTATAATTGATACTTAAAATAACTCAGGGAATAAATCATGGAGAGCGAAGAAGAAGAGAAGGGCAGACTGATGCCAGTCTCAATAGAAGATAAACATGAAGGGTTGGCGGAAAGGGATGAGAAAGGAGAGGTTTCACCTAAAATTTGGGTCCCTTTGTCTTTGGTTATAGCTTTTTTCTATGCAATCGGGAATGTCTTGATCAGTTCTATCTCAACCTACAGGTTCAAAGCCATTGCCCTAATGTCCATTGGTCGAGCCATTGGAAACCTAATCCCGCTCTTCATAATCTCTTTTTCCCCAACACCCTCCACTAGTAGTCCCCCTAGTTTCTCTAATAGCCGAGTCGGGCTCAAATGGTTCTACGATATCTTTTACTATAGTGCTGGTGAACGAAGAAATGAGGTGCAGTGGGGAAGAGTGGGGGTTGGGGTGGTTATGTGGGTGCTTGGAACAATATATCCGTTTTTCTTTGTTATTAGTTATAGCTTTGCAGGCCTTGCAAATCTGAACACAGGGGTCTTGATGTCCATATACGCGATGAAGCCTGTTTTGTCCTCGATCATGTTCTACTTCATATTTAATCAGACTCTCAAGGCATATGAATTGGTAGCTATTGTGTTCTGTATGGCTGGAGCACTTGTTATTGGAATATCAAGTGGAGAAGAAGATGTTGAGAATGGAGGAGTAGCCGCAAGTAATTATGTGGTAATCGCATGTTGTTTGCTATTAATATCTTTGTTTTTGCTATGAATCAGAGCTGTGATACTGAAGTACTATTTTGGAACTGCAAAAGAAGTCAATGTGTCAGCTTTATTTAATTTTATATGTTTCATTTCAGACTTATCTATGATAGCTTGGTTTATTGTTTTGATTATCCAAGAATTTGACTTCACACTTTATGACTTTGCTTATGCAACAGTCTCATCAATAATTTTCAGTTTGTGTGGATACTTAATTGCATATGTAAACGTAAGAGGCAAAGCAGGAGTAGCAGACGCTCTGATCGAAACAGCACTAATCTACCAAACAATCTTAGAAATTATAGTATTCTCAAGATACCCAAACACACTCCAATACACAGGACTCTTCCTAGGCATAAGTGCAACCTTCTTCCTCCTCCTCTGCAACCACTATTGCCAACCCTAACCCCATCCCTCCATTTCCATACCACCACTAAATTCAATCTCACTTTCTCCCCAAGGGGTTTTGGGGTTTTGGGGTTTTGGGGTTTTGGGG